GCCACCACCCCCATAGCCGCCACCACCACCATAGCCACCACCACCTCCATTATAATTGTTTCCTCCAGATCGTGAAGAGGAAGAGGATGAACGTTCCGAAGCACGGTCAACTAAATATATAATAGAAACGTTAAATGTTTTAATATTTTTTTTTTTTAATATTAATGGTGAGACCATGTTTTAATATTAATAACATTCGAAAATTAATAAATAATATATACCCTTAATAGTTCGTCCGTCGAATTCTTGGTCATTCAAATTTTGGATCGCGACTTCAGCTTCTTCATTACTATAATTATTATTATAGAATTTAGCAATCTGATAAAACTCTGAAATTGGAGAGAGAATTTATATACTTACGATGAAAAAGTTACGAAACCGAAACCACGGCTGCGACCATTGAAGCACAAGAGAACATAATAGTAGATAAAAGGGTGGATAAAGAGGGAGGATGGGAACACAAATTGAATTATTGGGACATATTACACATATACACACACACACACACACACACACACACATTTATAGTATCATTCCTGCTAGAAAGTCACATAACAACACACAGGGTTTGGGGAAAGGGAAGATAGCAGAAAGGTTAGCATCCTTATATCCGCAGTGAGATTGTTCCAACCATATATTTTGGAAGTCTCGCAAAGGTAACAAGGTTGCTCAAACGAGAATAAAATTTAAATAATACAAAACGAGAACGGAGGTATTTTTTCTAATGCGATGTGACTTCAACGTTTAACCTTTGGTCAAAACACACAACTTACCAGTGTCGCGATCACGAATCACAACGACATCTTCAACGTTGCCATATTCTTCAAACCTAGTCCTAAGAGAACGGTCATCGGTTCCCCATGACAAACCTCCAACGAACAATTTAACGGACATAACTTAGATAGAACGATAGAACGATAGAACGATTTTAGAACAAGAGAAAAATTTTTTTTTAAAAAAAAAAACGGCGGTGGGAAAATCAGGTCTTTTAATATCAAAAAAAAAAAGGAAAAATGGGGGTAGACCTATAGATGGGCCGATGCGCATATCATGCATGCGCGCCCATGCGCATTCATGCCCCCATATGCATTCATGCCCCCATATGCACTTTCCAACAATCATTCCATTTCACAAACTTTTTTTTTTTGGTAGAATCATTTGAAAGTATACTAAAGTACACAATAGTGACTAATAATGACAGCATAGAAAAACTCGTATTTTTACGGAAAATCACGGGTTATAACATTTATGCATTGGCTAATTTACGTAGATCATGCGTGACTATTGATAAATCAAATCAAATTAAAATTTTTTCGATAAGCGAAATGAAGCGAAATAAATTTATTAATAAAAAAGGCGAAGCTTTTTTTAAAGCTAAATTAATTCTAACCCATCTTTTAACTATTATACTCTACCAAAAACATGTTGTCATG